CCTACTTGTGGTATTATGACATTTTCTTGCAGTTGCATGCTTAGAATAATGAGAGCTAATGATTTAGCTGCATCTATAACATGTTTAGCCACACCCACTGACAGGAAGTAACAAGAAATGACCGTTTTTGAAGGCTCATATCTCAGTGAAAAAAATTTTTAGACAATGGGAGTTGGAATACATCATTATTATGGTCAGGCAATCATATTAAGCCAATAAAATAAATGCCCCAAAATTACATCGGATTTACCTTTAAAATTACTGTATATAAATACTAAGCTGTATTTTTAAAAGTCTGAGACTAAACCTTCAATGGCTGTCAGAAGTGACTATAATGTGTGTGCTGTGTGCATGTATTATCAATGGAAAGATTCATTTATTGTCATTCCCCATGAGTAGTCTCTATGCATAATATGTTGTTTGCAGTATAGAGTGCAGTGTATCCTTGTATTGAGGTACTACAGTATAGTAGTCATGTGCAATAGGAAAGCCAACTAGTCACTATAACTTGGACTGACACCTCAACTGGACAATAGTCCATTCAATTCTACTGCTTCATGTATATCTAGCTAATGAATTGGTCCTTTTATGTACATGTACACTTGCAAGTTGCAATTGTACAATTATCCTCTAAGTAGAAATTTTAGTGTAAAATTATTTTGCAGTTACCAGCAGCTTTTTTAGTCTGACAATTTACAAGGACTATTTTTAAATGGCAACCTAGCAAATGGCAATTATTCATTTTTGAATAATGAATAATTGCCATTCTTGAATTAATTTTGTGTAAAATTTAATTTCACAGAATTTTGCATTTTCATTGCTATTTTTACTAGTAATTAATTGGTCACTCATCATCATTTTTGATGTTATAATGACCAGCTCACAGTGCAAACAGTAACACCTAATATAATAATTTTAATTGATTTCAAATAACTGTTTTAATATAAGCCAAGATAACTAATTAATCAAAAATGTAATATTACAGGTAAGCAAAAATAAACTGTGCATGTCCTATAGTGTTGCATGAGTCCTAAAGTTCTTGGCTTTTAGCTGATGAGCTCCATTACTGACTCTCACAATAATGGTATTTGAAATTGTCAGCATTATTGATTGCTTTATCAGGATCATCACGAGCAAAACCCTTACAATTATCGGGACCATATCCTTCATCAGATCGATCAGCAAAAGCATGAGCCCATTCGTGTACCAGTGTGCCCTCCTTAGTGGAGCTAGTACCACTACAAGCTAGTGGCAATCTGTAGAATGCTTCACAGAGATATACCACTTTTGATGGTCTGTATGTGTATGCTACTGCTCTAGGTTTGCCCTCGCACTTTGGGCCATTGTTGTAATATGTGACCGATGTGCTTTCTAGTTTACTTCTCATACTACTGTACACTTTTTTAACTGTTTTTTCCCTTGCTTCTGTGTATGCACCAAACCATGTAACGTATAGATTGTTGTTACCAACTCTGCCTTTAGCTTTATCGATTCCAGCACAGAGCTTCTTGTGGGCTGCCAGTGTAACGTTATTTTCCCTGTTACCATTAAATTCAGCAGCAGTACAGGATTCAATGTAGACTGTGTAATCAAATTCGACTTTTTCTTTTTTTGGCCTTAAGAGAAGATGAGTCCTTTCCAAATGAATATGAACGGATTCACGTACAATCGATTCCCTGAGCTGATCAACAGACATTACACTCATCTCATTCACTGACAGATACTGTAAAGGTCTACTGTATTGTACAGTGTAGAGACCATCAGTATCAATGCTAAAGGCATCAGTGATTTGGACTGTTGCAGAAATACTCTCACCTGCCTTCAAGAGAACAAACTCATCCTTTGTAGGAGGGAGACGATAAATGTAGATACCTTCATATTCCAGTGGACGACCATCAAGAGAGACAGAGACAAATTGAGAGTTGAGTCCTTCAAGAGGAGTGTTACGTTTCAGTAGATAAAGATCCTCATTTGCATTGTTGGTAAACTCAAAAGAGCAAGCAACTGTAGAAAGAGCTTTATTACAAGCCATGTCAAGAGAGACTGGCCAGCCATTAGCACTGCATGTACAAGAGAAAAGTAACATTGATTTGATACTGTAGTAACATACCTGAGAGCACAGGTCAGGTAAGTAACCAGACAGAAGAGTGAGAGTAGAGTCTTCATGATTCCTTTCCTTGATAGACAGTATTCTTTCTTCTTGTGAGATGATTTCTTGTTTTAGTGAGAAGTGATTGACTGCTGCTTGTCACCTCCTTATATACTATTAGGTACCTCATCAATATTCATTAGCAATT